AGAGCTGCATGAGAGTGATGATCTCAAGTACTGTCATCCACCCCCCAGAATTGGCAGCCAATTTTGTCGGAGACCTAGAGTATTTTTTAGAGAAGCTATTACTGATGTTTGCGTTCGACCTTGCCGAACGGAAAAAAATAAATAAAAATAGATCATGTCCACGCCAAGCCAACACGTGGCTAACATGTAGCTTGGACTCAATCGGACTGATAATTATAAGTCAATATTAATTCTTGGTAATTAATATTGACTACCTCCGTAACCGACTCAGTATCTTACCAGGCCATGAATTGTCATTCCTGACTTATGCTATGACTGATCTGAACGTGGCGAGTATTCTCAGATGGTGTAGGTGGTTTATAAATCCCCAGCTCCGTAGTAGACGAGGAGAATAGGAGATTACTTATGACTTCAAGACCCAGACACGTGGATGCAGCTGCCTTTTGGGGATTTTTATTTTTAAAATTCGCGTTGGCAAGGTCGAAAGCAAACGTCAGTAACTCGAAATTTGATTTGGGAGGTCTGTAATACGAGGTCTCTTTCACAGAAAATCTATCTACCCTGAAAGTCAAGAGATCCTGTATAGTGAAAGCATCAGTGTTTTGGAGGTGCAGGAACCCGACCATCCTCAGAATTTTCAGTTCCCAGCGTTGCTGATACCGGATATAACTCCGCATTAATCAGGAAGCCGGCTATAGTCTCCCCGCGAAAGGTAATCAGCTCATGGTCGCCGTTGCAACAACGGTTATTAATAAGCGTTAAGGAGAGATTAGATTACAGAAACGTGCACAGAGACACTCCGTCATACTTTGGTGCTGCTAAGTGTCTTGAGCACCCTCACCATGCTGGGAACTATCTCAAACTGAAGGATAGATGAACGTTCAGTGCTTGTGAACTTTCTTCGCATCATTATTCAGCCAGTACAAGAGCAACCGATCGCCAAAGCTTAAAGGGTTTCATAAGTGGCCTAATGGACGCCTTCTACGACTCGTAGCTCATCGTCGGGAAGTTTCTACGTATGGCACGCATAGAACTATATTGAAAGACATCTGTTCGACATTGTCATGAATTTAGTATGTAAGTTAATACAGAGGAACGATCAAAAAAGCGAACTGCCAATCCTGGGGGTGGTGCCAATTCTGGGGGTGGATGACAGTACTGCAGCGCCTGATTTTACGATGTCATTCAGCAATAACCTATCTACAGCTTAGTGTATTAACTTGTAGCTACTTACTATGCATATCTACATATTATCGAGCTTTTTTTGGCGAGGCCGGGGACGCTTAATTGCAGATGTGGCTGGCTGAGAAGAGCTATTGGGGAGTGGGTGTTTTGCTGATGATGAAGCGCCTGTAGTGGATACAGAAACCTTTGATCGTAAAAATGAAGCTGCTGGCGCTGCAGGCTCAAACTCGGGGTGGTGAGGATCGTAATTAATCCACTCAGCAGCTTGGAGTGGCTGAGAGGTTGATGCTGAGATCGAGAGGGTGGCTGCTTGCTGAGAGCGTAGCAGCTGTGTGTGATCAAGCCCGTACGTGTTCCAGGCTGTGGTGTTGACGTTGAGGGTCCAGCTGTACATGCGTTCCTTGAACGTCCCATTGTCTGCGCTGAGTTGAGTTCGAAGTGGTCGCTTTGTAATGACAATCTCTGCATCAAACGCATCAATAACTGCGAGTATGCCGGGGCTACAGAGCTCGCCCCATTCACTATTTTCGCTAAGAGCAGTAACAATGTGTTTGATAGTGGTGAGAGGCTCACGAGGCTCGCAAATAAGCTTATTGGTATCTCAGTCAGGGAGTAGGTAGTCTTCAACCAACCAAGTACCAGATCGTCAGCTGACTCCTCTCGCCATGTTTCGAGGCGCTTCCGTAGCTCCTTGTGACCGTCCTTATGTCGAGACGCTTTTTTGGGGTGGCCATTTGTAGGTTTCTTCTTCTTCTTCTTCGTGCTGCTGTCGCTCATCTCACCATCGTCGATTTCAGCATCTAAATCCATAGCAAACGGGCTGGGATATATATATATATAAAGAAATCGCCCAGAGTAAAGCCATTGCCACGATTATCGCAGCAAAACGGCCCTGTAAAGTGGCAGGCTGACATAGTTTAGTGTATAGCCAGTGAATATATGCGTACCTTCTGGGCTTGTATCACTGTCTCGGGCTGCTAACCATTGCCTCCGACAGGTTTTGAGTGATACATATTCGCATACAGCACTCTCAGTTCGCTTTTCTTTGTTTGATGGGTTCTCACTATCCTCAAGTTTAAACGCCTATGCCTCTGCAATCGTGAGGACACGAGCTACCAGAGAAGCATCACGACTAGCGCGGCCGCATCGCTGCCGTTGTTCGATTTCCGTGGTTGGAACACCGTGGCATATAAGCCGGGTTATGTTACGCATGTCAAGGCCCTGCCATTACATGAGTATATTGAGCATATAACAGGAGTATAACTTACGTGTGATGCAGCTGAGGTTGTCACCAGCATACAGATGTCGTCTGTATCTTTGAACTCCCGAAAAACGCGCTGAATGAAGAGCTCTGACATGCCGGCATGGAGATGTGAGACGATCTTGTCCGACTAGAACCAGGGGGGAACGTTGTCACGAAGATATCGTCCTACTTCGGCCGCATATTCGCAGGCATCGACAAAGACAACTGTCTTTTCAGGTGAGACATCGGGGTGGCCTGGGATGATAAAATAGAATTTTGAGAGGTTCTTGATGTTTCCCTCCATGCTTCTGACCGCATAGATATGGTTTGGTCGATTAGTGGGCTGCATAAGCACAACTGTCTCCTCCTGCTTGAGCCGGACCGAGCTGAGAATCGTGTAGAGCGTGGGGGGTAGAAGCATCGCCGAGAGTATCAAAACGCGAGTGTTTACATGCAGAACAGCGAGGATCTCTGCGAGCCTTCCATACATTGGTCTAAAAGCTCTATGCTCGCCCTTCTGAGGATATCCAGTGGTGTGAACTTGGTGAACCTCGTCGCAGTTCACAAGTGCGACCTTGTTACGGAGAGAATTAGCGTTTCTGATGAGGGCTTCGAGGCGGGGATCATGTCCTTCATGTCTAAAAAACTGCTCGGGGGCGCATATGATGTTGCGATAGACTCCAAGCTGAATATCCTGTGTAGATGAGCAAGCGACCTAGCAGAGCCAAGCGGCAGACATACCTTCCAGAAGTTCTTGTCATCCGGGGTATCTTAGTTTATTTGAATGGTGGGGATGCCGAAACTTTGAAACTCTGAAACCTGATCACCTTTTAGCATAAGAATCGATCAGACGAAACAAAGACTTACATGACTAGCTTACAAGAGCTTCAGAGGCGAGATAGTGATCACGATTTTCGAAGCATCGCCAAAGCGAATTGGCAGGATCACAGAAAGCGTTTTGCCATAGCCCGTTCCTGCGCGAACTACGACGTTCTTCCCAGCTAGAATATTCACAGTGCCCTTGATCTGAAACCGACGTAGTTTTCGTTCGCCTAGATACCGAGCATCGAACCAGGCTGTGGCTTTGAAGACAGTCTCGGCTTGCTGATGTGTCAGGCTCTCGATCAAGGTGGGGGAGAGCTCGCCGAGCGATTGACGAGCATTATCGGACAGTAATAATAAGTCGAATCAATGGAATATATTCATAACAGGCAGCGGCACTCAGACGCGACGCGTCTGCATTTCAGAGGCTCAATTCCCTTATCCGGGGGCGATCTTCTCTCGGGCCGAGGCCAAATTCAAACTCAGTTGGCTGCCTGCCGGGGAGTCGATATACTATACGTATACTACTAGGTGCAGGACCCGTGGGCAGCCACGGGACACAAAGAGCTCAAAGCACTGGCAAGGAAATAACCCATATCTTATATGTAGACTACCACCTGTGAAAAAAATGCTACCCTGGGACACCTGTACTGCTCAACTCATTGATATCTAATATTGTAATAAGCAGTTATCAATCAAACTTCTGGCAGAAGATTGCTCAGTGAAAGCCTTTGTGCTGAGGGATTCAATAATATCTTGGTTCACCCATACGCCTCACAGCTCACCTGTGCAACTCACAGTCCACCAATACATTTCTTATTTTCACCCATTTACAACCCTCAGTTCAAATTCACTCGCACATACCCTGGATCAACCCCAACATTAATATTAGGCCCTCAAATTGCTTTTATGTGTCAGAGTATGTTGCTACCTCACCCGTTTATATGTAATTTTGATCAATATTCTGGCAGGTAATATTGGTGTTTGCCCATAGTGACAAATTCACAAACACTGCAAGTGTTTCTTAATAATAGTGGCATCATTACTTGAAAATTATTTTAAAGAACAAGGTGGATGGGTTTCAATAATTAGATCCTCGTTATTTAATCTTTAATCCAAGACAGGAAAGGAAGACGCCTGTTATTAACAGCTGAACAGCCTTGTATTTGATAGAGTTTTCAAATAATGAGAACCTAATTATTGAAACCTGTTCACCTTAATCTTTAACATAATTTTTAAGTAATAATGCCACTATAATTTAGAAATGCTTGCAGTGAAAGGGAGATGGAGCACAGAAGGCTGACGCGAGACGCGGCAGCACCCCGTGAGAAAACAGTGCGAAAAGGTGATAGCCCAAGATAGCGTGGTTGTTGGGCTTACCAAAAGAAACCGGCGCGACACCGGCAGGGCACCGGCAGCAAACCTTAATTCCCACAGTCCAGCGAGAAGTCAACTTCCCACGAATTCTTCCCACG